GCTATTCAGATCCTCTGCCCATTTTTTAATCAGTTGTTTGCTTTTCTGATGTTGAGCTGTATAAGTTCTTTGTATATTTTGGATATTAAGCCCTTATCAGATATATCACTTTCAAATACTTCAAAACAAGTAGAACAAACAAATTAATTCAAAAGGGATTGGATTTGTGATTACCAGAAGTGAAGGTGTTGGGGAGGGGGGAATTGGATGAAGGCAGCTGGAAGGTACAAACTCCCAATTATAAGATAAATAAGTATTGATATTACAAAACTCAACATAATAAATGTAATTAACACTGCTGGATATTATATATGAAAGTCATTAAGAGAGTTAATTCTAAGAGTTCTCATCATAAGAAAATAACATTTTTTGCATTTCTTCAATATTGTATCTATCTGAGCTGACGGATATTCACTAAACTTATTGAGATAGTCAGTTCATGATGTATGTAAGTCAAATCATCCTGCTATACACCTGCTCTGTGTGTCAACTATATCTCAATAAAACTGGAAGAAAAAATATTAATACATTAACATGAATTAAATTCCACACTTTACTCAGAAAAAAATAGTGTATATATATTTTTAATCCTAAGAGGGTACTTTGAAGACTTCTTTGCAAATAAACTTGAAAACCTAGGTAAAAATGATTTTTCCTGTGGAAATACAGATTACCAAAATTCACCCTGTTAGAACAGAAAGCACTAACAAACCAATTTCCATAAGAAAAGAAAGTGATTAACTATTTCCAAAAAGCATGAGACCTGGATGAATTTCTAATGGAATTCTACCAAACTTTCGAAAGTCAGCTGATGCTAACACCTGGATAAAGTGCTAGGCCTTTGAGAATGAGGGAAAACTCCCTTTCATGAAACAAATATAAAGAAGAATAGCTTAAAAAGATAAAGAAAGGACTCAAAACTAAAATGGAAGACAGATATTTATAAATACCAATGCAAAATACTAAATAATATATTAGCAAGTAGAATCCAACGCCTCATTAAGTATATAATAGATCATGCCAAGAGGGCTTTAGTTCAGGATGCAAATTGTTTCAGTTAATATTATATACCCCATTAATAGATTTAAGGAGGATAAAACTCATAATTACTTCCAGAAATGTTGAAAAAGCCTTTGATAAATTTCAACACTAAATCCTAATTTAAAAACAAAATCACGCAAATTGATGGATAATTTCTTAACGTGAATATGCATATGAAGAAACACTAGAGTCATTTCCATAAGAACCTGAACAAGGCAAAGTTACCCATTCTCTTCACTATTATTCATTATCATAGACATACTAGATACTATGATCCAATGCTTTTAGACTAGAGACATCAATTGCATATGAATTGGTAAAGAAAAAATAAAATACATTTTTGTGTGTGGTATGATAGTGTATTCTGTAAACAATGCTTAAACTAATATAAAATCAGTAACAGGAAGATAGTAAGATATAAAATGAGCATTCATAAATCAGTAGTATCCATATATGAAAACAATAATCAGAGAACTTGATGGTTGAGAAAACACAATTTACAGCAGAAAAAAATAAATACTTAGGATTCAGTTTAAAAACTGTAAAAAAAATCTTTGAGTAAATCTTTAAGACATTCCTGAGAGATACAAAATAAACATGAAGAATTGGAAAGACAACCCATGTTCCCATGTTAGATGACTCAATGTTATACAGACGTTAGTTTTCCCAAAGTTGATTTACAAATTTTACACAATACAAATAAAAATACCAACAAGTCTTTTTTAGTGGTAATTAAATTTGTTGATAATAAAGCTCATCATGTTTTTTTAAAATTTTTAAATTTATTTTTAACTTTTTCATTTTTCTTTGTCTTTTTCTTTTTTTTCTTCTTTGTCTCTCTCTCTTTTTTTTAAGACATGCAATAGCCAGAAAAACTGAAAAGGGAAAACAAAACAAAATGAAAATATGAGGTTGGACTAGTTTTATAAGGCATTAATACTAAATGTTTTAGTTTCAATATACTGTTGAATCTCTACTATTAATATAGTGTGGTGGCAAGATAAGAGAATGGAATAGAAAGGTCATAAATAACCAAAGTATATAAGGAAATGTAATGTATGATAAAGTCAACATCTAAAATAATGGAGCAAAGATTGACTATTTAATAAATCATGCTGAGTCAACAGAAAAGCCATTTGAAAAAGATAAAAATTAGACTCATACTTTATACCATATGTAGGAAGAAAGTTTCAATGAATTAGGGAATTAAATATACAAAATAAAACCATACAAATACTAAAAGTAAGTGTGAATGAATTCTACTCGAAGTAGAATATAACCAGTAACACTCAAACCAATGTTAAAAAAATGAGTAACGTAATCACACTGAATGGGGAAAGGGAAGAAAAAAACTAACCTGAGTAACTTTAGGAAATAGTATTTTGCTTACTACTCCAAAGATAAAGACAAAAATAATTGTACATGAATACTTTATTCCAGTTAATTTTTCATAGATAATGTGTTAAAATTGAGAACTACTTTATGTATTTACTGGAATTTAACAAATAAGAAAATATACTATGGGTAAATGAGAGCCAGGTGTCTCACTGGTGGAAAAAGAAGTTACAAATAAGGAAAAGGGAAAGTTAGAATGAACCCCATGGTCTTTGGATTGGAATCAGGGCTACTGGTATATAAATATGGACTTGTGATTTATAATACATGTACGAAAGGATAGACACAGAAATATAGGTGCCAGTATAGGTAGAACATATATTTTCTCCTTCTGCCCACTGAGAGGGTCAAGAAGCAATGACACCCAATATTAATGAACACACCTAGTGCCCAGAGCTTGATTTCTGAATACAAATCTACAAAAAAGAGGAACCAGGGTTCCTTGGAAAAATGGTGAATTCCATTGCTGGATCAAGATGAGCCTGAAATATCTTTCATGCTGGAAATTTAGGACACACTCAGAAAATGATGAAAACATGTAAAGGGACAGAGAAGTCAAATCATAGGATGTACCAGTGGCCAAATTTATTCTGAGCAATAAAATAAATAATGATAGTAAAGGATTGTAAACTATAAAATAAAACATGTATCTAGAGGTCTACACAAAATAAACAAAGTGAATAGATAAATACTTGGACAAGTCATAGCTCCTCCTGATAGTAGTATTACAATTAATTTATGTAGAGGGAATGATGACAATATTGAGTTACCATGTGGCAAACAGCACATAGTAATACTCTTTCAGGTAAGAATCATTGATGGAGACTAGTTGAATGGGCAAAAGTGTGCTGAGAAATATTTGCATAGCTTCTACCAGGACAGTATCTCCTCATAACCAATTTATTAATCAAAAAAAGAAAGATAATAACTTCACAGTGGAGAAACCTGGAAGAAAATCACACTAAACCAAAGTTAACATCACCAGCAATAAAATATATAAACATCACATACCTCCTCATACATTACACTGAAAGCACAAAGTGTCACTTTTGTGGTATTCTTGGTAAATATATGTAAATGCAGCCCAGTAATGAAAATAAGAAACAAACTAAGGGTTGTTCCACTGGACAGTGCATTTTAGAAGTACCATGTTCAATAAACAAACAGATAAAGCTGAGAACTACACCAAATTGGAGGAGAGTATGGAGACATGAGAACAAAATGCAATGTGTGATCTTGGTTAGAGTTCTTAACCAGAAAAAAAGGACATTAGTGATGTATCTGCCATAATTTGAATAAGGTCTATAGATTAGTTAATAGTATTGTATCAATATTAATTTATTGATTTACATAACAGTCCTATTATTATGTAAAATGTCAACATTATGGTTGAAAGGTTTATGAAATTTCCATGTATAGACATAATTTTACTAAGTCTAAATTTTATTTTGAAATTAAATAATTAAAACAGTATAGGAAAATGATATTAAATACAAGAAAAATAGATTAACATAATGAATGAAATAGTGTAAAATAATAAAATTTAGGAAAACTTTCAATAAAAAATTTGACAAAGTCAAAATTTGATTTTATGACAAACTAAGAAAAATGTTAAAGTCCTTTAAGTTTTATTCATAAATGAAACAATAGATTACTAATAGCAGTAATGGCAAAGGGGAAAAAACCCTCAAAACCTAAGGGTGATTAAAAAAATCACAAAAGGTACTATGAAATAATTTGGCACTAGTAAATTTGAAAATTTCAGTTCTTTCATAATAACCCAAAACTGACTATTAAAGTAATTGTAATGTTAAAAAATTTTTCCCCAAACGCAAACTCTAGGCCAAAGTGACTTCACCAAATAATTCTTCCAAATATTTAAGGAAGAAATAGTATCCATTTTAGATAACACTTTCAGAGATGAAAAGAAAGGGAAAACATAATTCATTTGTATATGCTAGCATTATCTTGACTCCAAAACTGAAAAAAACATTACAGAAAGTAAAGTAACTGGCTAATGCCCGTTACGAATATAGATGTAAAATTCCGAAAGAAAATATTATCAAATTAAATCTAGTGATACTTTAAATATATTACCATGTCACAACCAAGTTACATTTAGTACAGAAATGCAAACTTCGTTTAAGTTTTAAAAAATCAGTCAAAGTTAGTTATAGAACAAACAGTAAGTAGACTAAAGGGCAAGATATAATCAATATAATTGTTTCAATAGATGCACAGAAATCATCTGAAACATTAGGGAGCTAAAAAGAACCCTAGCAAAATAAGAAGAGAAAGAAACTACAAAGAGAATCTTAAAAAAAAAAAAAAGAGAGAGAATGCCTACAGCAAACATCGTAATTAATAGTGAAATATAGATTGCTTTCCCCAGTATCAGAAACAAACCAGGACTATCAACATTGATCTCCGTCTTAGTCAGTACAGCATGTCATTAAAAAGACATGTAATTTTGAAAACGGATAAAATATCATCACTTGCAAAGTAACATCAGTAAATGTGGCTTTCATAGTCACCAAAATGCCAGAAGGTTTCGTCAGACTTACCTCCTATATCTGGGCGAAGTTTATTGTCATAGCCTTGAAGCAATGAGTTGAGAATTTGTGTTATATCTCCTTCATGAATCTTTGGTGCCAAGACCCAAGTTTTGTTGACTGTTAAATCCTCATCATCTTCATCATCTGCTTTATCAACACTAAAGAATTTAAAGAAAAATTTGTTTGATAGAAAGTTCAACCAAAGAATGTATCTAAAAAATAGTTTAAGGTTATTATAATTGTATAAGGGAGTAACAAGAGGGAAAATGTGTTAGAAATATTTCAAGTTCAGTAAGATGAACACATTCATCATATGAGCTGTTATGATATAATAATATTCAAAAGTGAATAATTTGTTGAAAGGAAAAGTAATATAATATTAATATGATAAAATAAATGTTGGCCAGCCCTACAATAGTCATTAAAGGCCAGAGAGATTATGCACTGATAATGTTAGTGGCACTAGGTTTGAGCAGTACACAACCTGCACAACCATGTGTAATGACTCTAAACCATCACACTCAAAAGTAAAAATTAAAAGATAAATAAATACAAGAAACGTTGCAATAATCAGTCTGGTAAAATGTATTTTAAAATGCATGTGTAGAAAAGAAGACTTAAGGAAAGATGAGTGAAGCAGGATTTGAAGAAAAGAGGAAGAGTTGTTGAACACATCTATGTTTCTTCCTTTCAAGTCAGAAGAACTCAGACATCTATTCCAAGAACGTTGTCAAAGAGTATCTTATTATCAAATCATGAGTTGATGGACAACTCACTCTCTGTTCTCAAGAGAATGATTATCACATTTTAGGACTAGAAATTAGACTCAAATAACCTACTGCCTTTATTTTGTAAATGAGAAAACTGAAGTCAATAAGGAACTAACCAAAGCACAAACTTACTTATGTGCAAAACTAAGAATCAGATTCTGATCCTCCAGCTAACTCTTCCTGCTACACCTGTGTGTTTAACAAGCTTAACTTATGAAGTGTGGAAGAAACATGCAGTAATATAGATATTCATCTACAATTCATCAAAAGTAGCAAACTACTCCTCTCTTTACTACCCATAAGTAACCCCATCTTCATTTGAATGACATCATCCTAGACTTCACACAGCCAGCTTTACTAAATCTTAGTCCTTCAGTGGAAAAATATATATAAATTTTTGTATTGGTAAAATCGGGTAAATCTATGTATATTATTTATTTACATATATTTCAGAGATGGGCTTCCCTCCCACAGAAGATATCCAAGTTTATCTCATTAACCTTAACTGATATTTCTACACTATTCACTCAGATCTCTTTTGCTTTGGACCTAAGCATCTTACCTAATGCAGCCTTCCCCTCCTTTATTCTTTTAAATTCTTTTCCAGTTTGATTGAGATTTAATTGGCATATAACATTGTATATATGTTCAAGGTGTGCAACACAATGATTTGATACATGTATACATAGCAAAATGATTATCACAGTAAGCTTAGTTAACATCCACCCTCTTTATCCTTTTGAAGAGTATAAATTAAAATTGTAAATTAAAGCTTAACTTTTAAAGTATTTTTACCTCATTTCGTCTTCACAATAATTGTATTGATAGTTATTATTAAAGCATAATTGAGTGCATTAGTCTTCTCAGTATTTCTCCTCTTCCTCCTGTTAGAGAATTATACTTTTTACCCCACGGACTTCTCACTTGGTCATGTGACCTGAAATACTCCTTTCTGCAAGAGGATTATACATCCCTACTAAATTCTGGTTTGGCATGCATTTGCTTTGGCTAGTGGAATATATGTAACATGCATCACTATGAAACAGAAGATTTATTGTCAGTGCGTGAGTCACCATATCCCGCTTCTCCTGCCAGAAGACCAGCCATACTCAGACAGAGGCTACCACTCCACCACTTCACTTCCAGAGCGAAGGCAACATGAACAGAGACACCATTGACCTACAATGGACACATAGCCTAAGCAAAAACACTCGGTGTTGTAAGCCAGTGAGACTTGGGGGTAGTTTGTTACCACAGTGTGTACATTTTGTCCCTATATGAATTCCTGGGGTACATTCAGTTAACAGATTTTTAATGAAGTACTTACTCATGTATATTAATTGTTTTACTGTATTTAATTTCAAAACGAATATACTATTGAAATATAGTAATATAATTTCCTTCAAATAATTTCTTCTTTTCTCTCAATAAAATGTATACATAAGTACATACATACATTCATTTATAAACTAAAGCATTTAAAGTATTGAAGTATTAAGAATCCCTGCTGGTGTGTCCTTCAGGAATATTTTACTTAATTAGAATTGCTGAGATATTGTCAACAACCAAAATTTTAGGTCATCTATTTAGCTTTAAATCCCAGTTTTATAGAATAAAACATCTGATGGATAGAGGCAGAATACTGCACATATAAGAACTTGGCTTTTCTTTGAAATATGATTGTAGTCAAATAGAAGTTCCCAGAAAAAATAAAAGCTTTTCTTATTTTTTAATGTAGCAACAACTTGGTAATCCAAAAAGCCCATGCTCATAGTGATTTACATTACTCTTTTCCCAGCTGGCTCAGAGCTAATATGAAAATTGACCTCGGTGATATTACAAAGCTTACGTTCCCCATTCTGGGTAATAACAGAAAGGAAATTTTATTATAGGTAACATTTCTACATTTTTCTCCACACTTTCTAAATTACCTTCAGTAGTTATCATATTGGTATTATATATTGCTTGTCATGATTTAAAAATTTAGTATGTCATATAGCATATGATGTCTCACTGTGTTTCATAGGCTAGAAGATTTGGTAACATTTAAATATGCTGAGTGAACACTCATTTTGGGGAAAAATGTATCATTTTCTTTTTCTTTTTTAATTGAAATATAGTCAGTTTACAATGTGTCAATTTCTGATGTACAGCACATTGCTTCAGTCATACATGAATATACATATATTAATTTCCATATTCTTTTTCACCATAAGCTACTACAAGATATCAAATATGGTTCCCTGTGCTATACAGTATAAACTTGTGTATCTATCATATATACCATATTTTCTTAGATAATGCTCTGGAAATTTCTGGACTCATTCTCAAGCACTTCTTTCAAATAATCTGAATAAGTATAATTTTATCATTATTGGAAATACATAGACTCCTCAGTGTATAATTTCACTAATTGTTTATTTTACTGATGCATGCTTTTTATTGTTGTTATCAGCTGTTGAGTGCCTAGAATGCACCATTAAGTTCCTGCCATGTTTCAGGAACGGTGTGACAGCTTTTTTCTGTATTGTCATGTCATTTGATCCACAGTAATCCGATGAAATAAATATGACTATTCCTATTTTACAGAAGAGAAAAAATAGATTTATAGGGTCTTTAGGATCCACACTATTAAGTAATAGAGCCAGGATTTAAAATAAGGTTGACTTAGTTTAGAGACTCATTTTCTCTTTTTTTTTTTGAGGTTTCCATAGTATCATTTTATCTTTATTAAACAATCCAGAGTGGTTGGATTTTGAGTTTTCTAATTTATAAGAATACAGCAACACTTCTGATAAGTAAGTAGTAGGGGCATAGGTTGGAAGCTTAGTCTCTGCTTTTCAGTTTTAAGTTAGAACAATAATCTTAAGGAATCACACACACACTCTCTCTGATGAAAAAGATTTTCTAATGTCTGTGCTCAAACTTCAGTCCAATGCTTTAATTCATTTATAGAAGAAATACCGTGTACGACAAATGTGCTAATTGCTGAAAACAAAAAGACAAAGAAAATTGCATTCCTGATCTGGATGATTTTATTTTCTAATAAAAGAGAAAACTATTCGTGTGATACAGAAAACCATCTTGTACAAAGATGCTTATCACAGTGTTATCTATAATAGCACAAATTTTAAACAATAGGAGTATTTTAAGCAAATTGTGCTGCATCCATATGACATAGTGGATGCATCCATCCAGTTTGTGATTGTGAAGAGTCTATAAAATATGAAATTAGTTTCATAATGTAATGTTATATAAAAAAACACACATAACAATTGGCTTTTATAAAAACCTAGGTATAAAATGACTAAAGATTTAACAGGAAAGCAGCATAATGAATATAATAAGTATTCTATGCTAGTAGAGCTATAAAAAGTTTAATTTTTTTCTGTATATTAATTGTATACTATAACTTCTGCATAATTTTGTAATGTAAGTACATGAAAAGGAGTTACTCTGACAATAATTTCTATCTAAAAATGAACTACTTCTTCCTACACACCAGATAGTGCCCTGAAATAAATTTCTAATTATACAAAATAAGTAATTCAGTAGAGCCTTTTATAGAGAAAGGTAGGGCTTTCTACTCTGCCAAGAAAACAAAAGTGGCAGCCCTAAAAAGTTGCCACTCTGTTCTCCCAGGGAGGGAACGTGGTTGACTGACAGCCCAGCTGCTGGCCCTCGGGACCAGCCCTGTGTCTGCACCAGATCCAAGCTCCCCCAGGCTGCTTTCAGGCAGTAACTGAATATTGTTGCAATGCTAGTGCAGACCCACTCCTGCAGAGGGCCTCCTCTAAAGGTCAGCTTGTGTTGGATGACTCCCACTTGCCTGGCCAAAATCTGTTTTGAACTCTATAGCCTGAGATTCTTTTGACCCAAATTTCTTCTTTCCCCTGTACTTTCACAGGGGTCAGACCTCCATCATTATCTGAAGGCTCTCTCTGTTTGCTTCCATCTCTACTCCTGTCCCTTGCACAGGCAGTTTTCTCAAATATCTCTTAAATGTCTAATCCCATCTTGGCATCCGCCTCTCTGAGGCCTTTGCTTCTCACTGTCTTTAATTGACACTTGCAAATTTATACCAAAGAAGGTTTTCAAGTCATCCATGTTAGTGTTGGTTTTTTGCCTCACTAAGCTATTTATACATTTACAAATCTATCTGATTACATAATAAATTATTATAAGCAAAAAGGTACTTTAATGAGTGTATTGCTGTTCTTAATATAGTAAGCAAAAGTTTTAAACTGATGATAACTAAGAGACAGGTCAAGTAAAGACAAGGCATGCTAAGTCATAGAATTATGTAAAAGAATTCATCTTTACAGCTAGAAAAAAATAATCTATGTCTATATCAAGTCAGTCAATATAAACTATTTTTCATATGTACG